ATGGTGGAGGTCTAAGCACCACACTGAGTCCGGGACTCAGGTGTGGGGGCTTGGAGTCCAAGTTTGGACGGAGACCTAGACCCCTTGACAGGAGAGTGGTGGGTTGGTCTTGATTGTGCCTGGGGTACAAGCAGGGCGTGTGTTTCAGGGTACCTAGATGGGCAACATTGGTTTGTGAATCGCCGTGTAATACGGTACGACTTGCTACGATCTAGCACTGTAATAAGAACTGGAAGATGAAAGGTGGTGAAATAGATCTGATTGTTCAACTCTTGCTTGAAAGTAAAATAGGTGCTTACATAGAATGGTTAGCTAATAAACTAATCATGACCACTAATAAAACAAATACATAAGGATTCACTACTAGTGTTGCTTTTTACAAAAAGAAAACCCGACAAACCATAAAGCTTATCATATCCTTTGGAGTCGAGAAATTATTTCCACTAGTCGGGTAAGTCTTGTGAGTACATTGTGTACTCAGGGTTTATTTACCCCTGTTGCAGGTGTAGTTTGAAGAGTAGCTGTTGAGTGGAGGATTCTTCTGGTGGCCACAGACGGATCCCTGTATCTTATCATTAAAAGTTTATTTTAATTCCGCTGTTTAAATTCCGCACTCTGAACTTGATATTGTAATAATGTATTTTTGAGAACTCTTGATGTATGAAATGGACTAAGGATTGTAAGCTCGTTCTCATTATTTGATCCTGGAGGAAAACGTGGATTGTTCGAGTTCTCCCTTAGGGTGTGCTCGATGGAACCATTCGAAGTAGCTTGCTTTCGGAGTGCTTAGTGTCTAATGGAAGACAAGCGTCTCTGAAAGTGTGTTATTTTAGGCGGTTCCGCCACAGCTCTGCTCCACACTCTTCTTTTAATATATTTTTTGTTATTGTTTGGCTATAAAAGAAATATGAATGGTTTCTTATAAATCATTATCACTTTAATAATTATATACTATTATATTATACTAATGGGTTGTTTAACGCCGTGTTTAGTTGGAGGCCAAATTCCAAAAAGTTGCTACAGTATCTGTCACATCGAATGTTTGCGGTCCGTACATGGAGCATTAAATGTAGACGAAAAGAAAAACTAATTGTACAGTTTGGTGGGAAATTACGAGACGAACGTTTTGAGCCTAATTAGTCCATGTTTGAACACTATTTACCAAATAAAAATAAATATGCTACAATAGCCCCAAAATCCAAATTCATAGAACTAAACAAGGGCTAAGATTATAATGTTTGATCGTGAATCAGGTCGTGCCGTGCCGACTCTCCGAGCCAAGAATGCGGCCAGGCACGGTCTTATCTTATGCTTCATGTGGAGCCGGCATGGGCCCGATAGCAATCGTGTACACCGTGCTTAAATAGGCCATGCCTCAATGCCGCCTACGAGGCCCAGCCTGTTTGACGTGCATCATGTGTATCCTACTATGGCGCTGCGTTCGTGGTACCTGTGCATAGCTGCTAGCCACAGAGACACGTGCGTCGTTTATTTGTTCACGCGTTTCACGTGCCATGTATCTAACCTCAGCTGTACTCTGTAGTCTGTAGATACGCCCACACCATGCTGATGCACACAAAAGACACTTCGGCCCTGTTCGCTCGGAGGAATTTAGAGGAATCTGAATAAATTTAGAGAAATTTGTGAGAAAGTGAACAGTGATTTCCAACCAGCTACAGTAAATTCCGGCTGAAAACTATGCCAGCCGAACGGCGCCTTCAGCAGATAAAATGATTGGACACAGGTGCAAGCCGCAAGGAGCTAGCATTGGAATTGCACGACTCCCGTGCAATGGCTGTGGCCGCCGTGCCATTACGAAATAAACGGACACTCGCCCGCAGTTTCCGAGTGCCCATACCGGCCGCCCAAGCCAACTGGGAAACGGTACTGACTACTGATCCATATACGGTGATTCTAGCGCCCGTCCGTCTAGAGCGTGAGTGCGTCCAGATGCCGGTCCCTCACAGAACTCCGCCTGCCCCCCGTGCAGGGAACCCGCGCACGGAACGGAATAGAACAGAACCCGTCCCTGTTCTCCGCTCCCCACTGCATCCCTGTCCCCCGTTCCTTAACGCACGTTCCCCCACCGTGTCCCTGTTCCAAAAAAGCATGAAACACTTCAACTGTAATATTGCAAAACATATAGAAAAACTATATAGTGCAATATCGGATTGTAAATACTACAACATCGAAAAATATGTAGTGCAACATTGAAAAACATGCACTCAAATATCAAAAAATATGTACTGTAACAACGAAAAATAAGTACTGCAACATAAAAAATATATGTATTACAATATCGAAAAACATGTACTACAATATCTAAAAAACATGTACTGCAACGTTGAAAAAAATATGTACTGCAACATCGAAAATTATGCGCTGCAACATCAAAAATTATGTACTGCAACAACATCGCAAAACATCTGTTGCAACGACCCAAAAATCCCATTGCAATATTCGAAAAACATCTATTGGAACATCTCAAAACACCCATTGCAACACGGGAGAAACAGCAAAAAAAATATACAAAACAGCCCCTGGCCCATCACCTTTGAACTCGCCGGAGGGAGGAAGGAATAGGACCCCAGAGCTCACCGGAACCCTAGCCACTGCTGCGTCCCTCAGATCCAGAGGAGAAGGAGGAAGATGGCTCAGATATAGAGAAGAACCGACCTACCTCGTCGGAGCCGCTGTCGTCGTCCTCGCTCCGGTGGGGGGAGCGGGAGCGGGGTTCGCTGGGGACCACGGGTCGCATGGAGGTCGCGCAAAGGGGAGGGGGGGAGGGAGTGAGGGAGGGGGCAGGCGGGGCGACTGCGAGGTGCGCGCGGCGCGCGGCGTCCGTTCCGGCGAGTGGGCGAGCACTACAGGAGTGAGCAGTCGAAAGGATAAGGAATGAGGGCGGAAACGGCGTGCGGCACGGGTGGGTTGGTTCGGCGCGCGGTTGGGTGCGTTCGCGATGGGATAAGGGTGCGTGAGTTGGGTGCGTCCGGCCGCCCGAACGGCCGATTCACGTCATTATCGATCCATATACGATCCGTTCCTTTGACACACACATGGAAAACAAGAAACCGAGAAAATACGTAAAGCGGCGTAAGGGGCGCGTGCAGTGGTCGATCAGTCAATCCCAGCGTCTTTGTGGAGTTCCATTTCCAAACTTTTGACAGCACGTCTCCAATCGTCTGCGAAAGATTTCACGGTTTCTTTCGTTGACATTCCGGAGTTGCTGCCCGCGCATGATGAAATTCATTGGTGGCGCCGCGGTCGGTGCTGCTGGCGGTAATGGTACGGTCTGCGGATGCCAACCTCATCTGCCCTTGTAATGATTCTTCAAATAAAGCAATGATGGCCGAGTCAAATAGCATTGGAGATAAAAGGGTTACCTTGCTAAGAGCAGGCACAACAGCTTGTCAAATCGTCTAAGCACGTCAGCGATAGCAGTGACATGGAGGAGAGAGAGGGCACATGAGACAAGCTAGCTAGTCGCAGCAATCGTCGACCGGCGGTACACGCACTCCAATACAACAACCAAGTATTCAATATCCATTGCTCTCTGCTCCAATCAAATACTGACAGGTGGAGGAGATTGCCATATTAAAGAATAAACAATTGCTTGGAAATTTAATTAGAGACAAGAAACCTACGGTATTGAATGAGTTAGCTGTTTAGTGCTTGTCTTATAGACCAAAACTTGTCTCAACTATTGGCCTTGCTGGAAGATCTCTTACAAGAGGACACGCATGCATGGGGGCTGGGGCGCGGACGCAGCGCTCCCAGTGTGGCGGCGACCGGGAGCTCCATGTCGGCTTCCAGCGAAGGTGGGGTTTATTTAAACTGGATTTGGCTGTGACACGGCTCCTCCATGCGCGAGCAGCGAGGGCGTCCGTGTGGAAGCACCGCCGCCGGCTGCGAGAAAACGAAAACAGAATAAAGCAGATCGGGTAACCGGGGAGAGAAGACAGATTAGTTTGGACTGGGTGGATTTGCGCAGGACATGGGCTGGGTCGGACTAACCGGGCCTAGACGTGAACTAGGTCGAAAATAATTAAGAAAAACTTTAATTGTTGCTTTGAGATCCGCGCAATTTTAAGAAAGAGGTTTACCGGAGCGGTTCTCAAAAAGTTTTAGTCAGGTTAATTAGGTGTGATGTGGCTCCACATTTTTTTGGGAAGTGGGGAATGAACACTATGTTGCTTCAGTTACCGGGTGCATTTTGAAAGTTCTTCGAACAACTTCAAAAGACTCTCTATATATACTTCCTCAATAATAGAGATTTTAGTGAAAAAATACCCTTCAGCGGGTTTTTTAATTGGTTATTCAAATATGACCATCTTTTATTTCGGATTTTTTGCCATCCAAAGATAAAAAACGAGAATGTCTCTCTAAAGTGTACAAAAGATATAAAAAAACTGTTGGGGAGTGAAAAGTTAAAATGATTTTTGCGAATGGCTCTCCAAATGATAATTAGAAGGTGAGTTGAAATACTCTTGGATATGCTGTAAGAAAAATCCATAAAGCGCTTGAACGAGATCATGCTTGATGATTTGCCGACAGCTTTTGTAGAATATCCCGATGAATCCATGTGCATCGGGCCAGCCGGCACGGTAGCACCCATTCTGCCGAGAGATCTTTTATTACATTAGCAATCTTCTTCTCCATAAACGGAAAATCAAGGTCACCGAGGTTGAATTGGTCATAGCCTAGGGATTCCAGTTCATAAAGACGTAAGAGCTCGTTTTAACACTGTTTATATATGCACTATAGATTGATTTTAAGGTGTTTTTCTTGTATAAAATAATCTGTAGAAGACGCAATAGGAAAGATCAGGTGAAGTTGCGCTTGATAACAAATTAACAGGTGACGGCACCCCCAAAAAAACAACTGAAAGCAGTTGCCGATACAAACAGTGAAACAGGTGCGTTTGACGGGCACACATCACGGGAACTCCGAGGAAAGGAGAAAAAAGAAAAAGAAACCGATTCGCTCGCGTCATCCAGCGCCTACACGTACGGTACGGCCGCGACACTGCTGCCGTCGGCCTCATCAGCACCCCGGGGGGCGACAAAGGCGAGCGGCTTGGCGCTGGCGAGGAAGGACGGCGCGCGCTCGCCGGCCATGATGACGGCGACCTTGGGTTCCCTGTCGAGCGGTGCGAGCACCCGCGCTGAGGGCGCCGCCTCGTCGTCCGACCCGGGCCGCCGCGAGCGACGACTGTTTCTGTTTCGCGCGCAGATGAGCACGAGCAGCACAAGCGCGATGAGGATCGTGATGGACCCGACGACCAGCAAGATGTACGGGGTCGGCGTCCTCCACAGGCGGCTCGCCGGCCGCGGCACACCTCCAGCTCCCTCCGTCCTCATCTCTCTCTAGGCCTCTACCTTGCTCTCCCTGTGGCTTTCCTTCTATGCCAGCGCTGTGGAAATGTATGGAGTGGATGGGGGCACTTCGTGCTGTAGGAGCACTTCTGAACAAGTGCAAGTACTTTCTCTGGTTATAAACAAAATTTATTTATAAAACAAGTGCAAGTAGTTTCTCTGCTGCAATGTCTATTTAACTAATATATAATATCGATAGTGATAGCACGTACGTACCTTTTGAAGAAATAGAAAAGTGTATTTTATATTATGAAACTACGCGTTTTATGATGATATTGATATATATATATATATGTTGATTATTAACATTATCCATGTTATATCATCAAGCTATAGCTTTTCTATATACTAATTTGACCAGTAACTGTTGTAGAGAAGTGTACTAGCTTGCCTGCAGTCCTACGACTATGGATGCGGTGAGATGGTAGATGCAGATATATATTCGACAATAATTGTGGCAGTGGCTGGATAGAGTTTGAACCATATACAATGTCGGGATGGAGTATTATTAAGCAGAGCGTTCATGGGAAAGTGCATTGTGCATATCTGAACCGTACCTAGCGGCTTCCACAGCTATGTACAAACTACAAAGTAACACAGTGCTCCCATGAAGGAGTATACGTGATCGAGGGGAGCAGCCACCGAGCCATCCATCCGCTCGTCTCAATGAGCGGCAGATGGATCGATCCATGAACTGGGGCTCTGCCTGGCAATATCCGGCGGCAGCGGCCCGCGTTCAATTAAGGTGTGCTTGGTAGTTTTGTCCAACACTGTTTCACCTCGCCAGGCAAGATTGCACGTTTGGTAGCACACTAGAAGCTTGCTTCACCTAGCAAACTCGCCTGGCCGAGCAAGAAAATCCTTGCCCATACGGGAGAGCCAAATCCGCACGAGCAAGATTCGCTTGCGTGCTGCGGGGCTGAATCTGAGTTCGTGCAGCACAAGTCGACGATGCTCTTCTTCGATGAATCGAACTCTAGCTACCTGTGAAGGAATAAAAGAGGCAAGGAAACTAGCTAGAAAGGGATGGGCATTTCTAGCTTCGCCTATCTTTGCCACATGAGTCGAGCGGAGCAAGGTAAGACGAGCTTGGCAAAGCTTCTAAGCATGCCCTTAGATTCAGTCGTACGCCACGCTGTAATGTGTGGGGGCCTCGGGGTGGGGTGGGGGATTGGAGAAATCTCGCGATGCCAATTCTTCGTGTGTGGAAGCCTGCATGCGGGAACGATTTTCGAACATGCTAACTTTTTTCTAGTAGTGATGAATGGATATAAGAATTCGCTAAAGAGTGCCCATGCACTTAAATCCTCGATCATACACGTACTCACCTCCTACCCCCTCTCTCCGTTACTATTTTCTTCTCTCCGAGATCTATCTTCCCCACTACCGCTCCCACCCCGCGCGGCTTGGTGGTGCTCATAACACTGCTCTCTGCCACCATGCTCACTAAATTGAATCATGCATCTTCTTCCTAGGCCGAGCACCCCTGCCTCCACCGCCTCTCGTTGGTTCCACTGGCACATTGTCGCCTCCGCTGCCAACCTCCTCCTCCTCCTCTACCACCACCGCTAATCCCAGTCCTCCTCATCTACATCTTCTCCGGTCGTCCCCACCACCTGCGCCACCCAACTGGCCTCCCCTACCGCCCAGTAGGCAGCACCTTTGCCACCTTCTCACTTGCCCATCGCCGGTCTAGCAGCTAGCCTCCACCCCTGGAAGCTCCCCTTCTAAGCCCGCAACAATAGAACCCCCTCTCCCCTCCTCCAAAGCCCTAAACCCTAACACAGGGAAGTTCTACATCTCCAAGCTTGTCGTCTCTAGGTATGGTGAGTTTGATTTTTTTGTCTTCTAGTGCATGCATGCCGAAGCATATCCGCACACACGTTTGGAAAGAAGCATTTACGTTGAATAAAAACACCTTTATAGATGGTTTTAGAGATAGACAATTGGCGTGGCTATAAAATGACATTCGTAATGCCCTAATGAAGGTAATCATTTCCATAATAAGTGTTTGGCATGTGATAGGTGTCTTCATAGAAACCAAGCTCCGTACATATACATATATATAGACACAGGGAGGGAGAAGAGGGAAGCTTTGTGTACCACCTTTCTGATTTGTAACACGAAGCCTGGTAGAGACAATTCTAAACCATGCTCAATCACTTTGTAAACACATTTGTCCTTTGATTGTGCGTCATTAATCCACCCAAACATACAATAGGGCTAGATGCACTTTCAATAGACAAACAACATAGATGGAACTACAGAATGCCCAATAGGAAGGGATGTAGCGATGATTCTAAGAGTTAGTATATGCCCTCATTGTTGACAAATCATCATTGGGTACTTCCCTCTGTCTCCGAATAAATCAATTCCTAGAATTACCTCTAGAAATTGATTTCTAGAGGTGGGTGCATAGCTACCTCTGGACGATTTCTAGAGGTCCTTGAGTAGAGACCGTTGCAAAAACCACTAATGGAGACGGGGATCCCGATCTTCCGTCAGGTGATGGTAACTATCGTTGTGGCGGAGAATGACACACCGATCCGGCTTCAGATCGAAAGATCGAACCCTGCAATCTTAGCACCACAGCTCCTCTGGTTATCAACCGAGTCACGGACCAGGTTGACCTCGCCAAGAAGGCTAATCCCTGCCTGCGCAACGAAGAACACAAGCAAGAACAAGAAAGATCGCAACCAAATTGCAAATGTATGATTAATCTCACGAGTTGGGGTCTCACAAACCGAAGAACGGCGAAACTGTTTCTTGACAGAATAATCTAAGCAAAACCCAAACCCTAATGGAGGGGCAGCAGCTGTTTATGAAGACTCTAGGGTCGTGCAAGACCCCTGGACGCGCCCCTAATGGGCCCAAACTCGATACATGGTCCAACGGACCAAAAGACGGTGTCGCAGCACCCTGGCAGATTCTGGACGCTGACTTGTTTCGACGATTCCCGTTGATTCCGAACAGATTTTAACGTGAAACCACTTGGATTGGCTTCCTTATCAAATTAGCTTTCCATCCATATGTGGATCATCGAAAATGGAGTCCGGATGCGTCCTGGGCGTCCATTTTATTGCAGACTGGTCCTGATGGCCGAGGCAGACTCGAACTCGGATTGGACTGGGCCTCTGGCTTGGCTTGGATGTCCTTGCTGGCCTCCTAAGGTGGTGGCCAAGGAGGAGGACGTCCAAGGGCTTTCTTGGTGGGTTCTCCAAGTCCTTGGGGTGTGCTCCCACTTGGGCCAGGGTCCCAAGGATGAATAACAAGCCCATAACGATAGTGTAACTCCCAGCAGAAACAACGACAGAATATATTGGCGATTTGGAGGCCTTGCCGATGTGATATTGAGATGGAACCAGATCTATTTGAAAGCTTATCAAACAAGCTTTCCATCAAGTGCTCATTGACCTCGATCGCACTCCGGATGGATGAGTTATGGCCTTCCCAATGAGGCACTATCGGACTGCCGACGAACCGAAAGTTCAACTTTGATGAACTTCTATTATGAAACACATTTGAACCTACAATCAAATAGTGACATGTACATGTGGAACCAAGTGAATTATAACCAAAGCCACTATGCAAATGTAGGAACGAGCGCACCTTATAATCATTGTTCGTATCTGAAGGTGCCATGTCCTCATCAACCACCACAAAAAACTATTTGACCGGCTAGACAAATGTTTTGTGTACAGAAATGACATGTGCCGCATCAGGCATTAGCGATCAAACCTTGAGGCCAGGAATGTTTCATCGTTAGGAACAAATGTGTGGTATGCTACTATGCTTTATATATGAATGGTGTCTTACGCATCTTATGTTCACATTAGAGCAATTGTACGAGTCTTTTTACATCCTTATGTACTCATAGGAATAGAGATTTTGGTGAAAAAGCCCTCCAATAACTTCTTCAATTAGATATCCAAATATTACCATTGTACATTCCTAGTTTCTCTCTAGTCAAAGATTGAGAGTGGGGATGGCTATCCAAAGTGTACACAAGATATAGAGAATTTTTTGGAAGGTGAAAAGATATAATTAAAGAGCGACTTTATTCAAATGACACTCTACATAAGGGGAGGTTTATCCTCCTAGCTTTATCCTCCCAAATGCAAGTGAGGTTCTTCTTCCTTGCGCATCCCTCTCTTCTCCTGCTTCGATTCATGTGCTTGAGTCAGTGGCTAGCAACAACGGCAAGGTGGGTCCTCCTCCTCCTCCTCCTCGTCCTCTTCCTCTTCCTCTTCCTCTTCCTCCTCTCAAATCGTGGCAAGGGCGGGTTAGTGTTTGGGGGTTGTGTTAGCGTCGAGGTTTCTATGGTTTATGGCTCAAGAGGGATCCTTGGAGAGGCTACTTGACCGGTGTGGTGGCGGTTGAGACAGCGGTGGGGTGGAGAGGGTGCCGCCCGCCGAGGTAGTGGGAGAGGCTAGTTGGGCGATGCATGTGGTAGGGTTGTCGATTAGTTAGAGATACGAATCACATCTTAGATTAGTGTCGGTGGTGGTGGAAGGTAGCGATGGAGGCGACGCTAGCCACCAGAGCCCGGGCGGAGGGATTGGAGGCATAGAAGTGGAGCTCTGAACTAGTTAGTGTTTGTAGTGGTAGAGGGGCGGTGGAGGCAATGCTAGCCGCCAGAGTCGGGAGGGAGGAGTTGGAAGTGGGGGAGTGGAGCTCCAAAGAAGTTCATGTTGGTGGCGGTGGAGGGGGCAGTGAAGGCGACGCTAGCCGCCGGAGCCGGGAGGAAGGTGTTGGTGACCGAGGAGTGGAGCTCCAAATCGGTTCTCATTGGCAGTGGAGACAATGTTAACCACCAGATCCAGCTAGGAGGGGAGAGGGTGGTGGGGAGTTTTTTTTGCAAAAACTTATATGATGATTAGAGAATTTCTTAATTTAGGGTGTGCAGGCCCAAACCAAAACTCATGTGCATGCAAGATTAAGAAAAAACCCAATACTCTATTATAATTTTCTATATCTCATTTTAT